CACACACACTGCCCATGCCCCCTGCAGGCTCTCGGCAGTAACAGAGCAAAGTGAAACTGAAACTGTCTGCTAAGATCCACTACTTCTCACTCAGTGAAACTCTTTTCAGATTCAAAATACCTTTGAGGAAATGTATTTTCAGATGCCAAGTAAACTGCATCGTAGCGCACACGCAACCACCACCCCCGAAATGGGCGGAACAGAAGCAGAAGGTGGTTCTTAAAGAGACAGAGGCCAATTTCAAGGTGTTTAGAAGAGGAAGTGATGAGAAGATAAGTTTATTTTCTATATACACATAAAAACAGCATTTTAATAATAGCTAAATGTGACATAGATACTTTATTATGGTATAGTATTTAAATACATGCCTGAGAAACACATAATATTGCCCTTTTAAAAAAAGTGACCACCTGGATTTAATTAAGTAAAAAGTTAAGAACCTTCTACTGACAATGTACTGCAGTGATGAAAACGTCTCAGCTGGGGCAGTAAGAAGCTTCATCTGGGAAAGGTATCCTGTGGTCGCACAACTTGTAACCGTTTTAAATTATTACCCTGAAGTCYGTATTAAGGATGATTCTGTAATTTAGGGTGAGGTGGAGCTGTTTTGTGTTGGCAAAGCTCGATTAGCTGTGGCAGCCATTTTGAAATGGATTAACGCCAAGTGCCAATCAGCTGCAGCCRTACAGGTGGTTTAGGAGATAATGTGCTGACAGAAATACAAACGGTAAAGTTAAGATGTCGTGCAATGTGTAGTGGTCTGAGTGTGTTTGGAGGATGACTGCAGCTACTACCACAGCAAATCTGAGTTTCAGTATCTGTAAAACTGGCACTTATGGAGCTCAGACTTTGGGATACACACACACACACACACACACTGGAGCAAAAACTATGAAGAAAGCCCAAATTGTACAGAAACACTTTTGTTGTCCCGTTACAGGAGAATGGGAGAGATGGACACACACTTTTCTCTTCATACACAAACAAGATCTTAGACGAATGACTGCTTCTGCTACTCCTCCTTCCTCTGACGACAGCCTTTAACGCAACAGAAAAGCACAGCTTGTATGTTTTATGCTCTTTTCACAGATGCATCTCACTCGTCCAACTGGTCCCTTTATAGGCTCCGCCCCTTCTTGTTCCACTTTTCGCATGTCTGTGTGTGTCTTGCATTGTGAAACTGAAGGCCAGTCCACACTGATCCGCTTCTTCCTCCAACTGCATCACTTTGATTCACACACTGTGATTAAATGTGTGTGTGTACATGTGCGTTTGTGTGTTACAGTGGAAAAAAATTACAACTGCACAACAGAAATGCATCACAGATGTGGGAGATTGTGCAAAACATCTGGATTCAACCAGCTAACCAGCTGGACTGAATCTTGTAGAGTCTATATGCGTGTGTGTGTGTGTGTGTGTGTGTCCACCCACGTTTCTTTGCTTGTGTTGTAAT